TGGCGACAGAGTGAGACTCCAACTCAAAAAAAAAAAAAAGTCCTTGAATGAAAACAATTAAACAAGTTATCAAAACTTCTGGGACACAGCAAAACTGTGCTCAGAGGAAAATTTATAGTGCTTAAAGCCTACATTAATAGGAATGAAAGACTGCCTAATATCAACAACCTAATGTCACACATAAAGAAACTTGAAAAATAAGAATAAACCCAAGCTACAAGAAAAAAAGAAAGAATGAAGATCAGAACAGAACTAAATGAAATTGAAACAAAAAAAATTACAAAGGATTGATGAAACAAAAATTTGGTTCTTTGAAAAGATAAAATTGATAGACCACTAGCTAAAATAATTTTAAAAACAGAAAATTCAAATTAGCTGATTCAGAAATGAAAATGGAGATATTACAACTGGCATGATAGAAATACAAAAGATCACCTGAGATTATTATGAATACCTCTATGCAAAAAAAACTAGACAATCTAGAGGAAGTGGAAATATACAATCCCCAACCTTGAATCAGAAAGAAATAGAAACCCTGAACAGACCAATAACAAGTGATGAGATTGAAAGTCTTCCAACAACAAAAGTCCAGGGACTGACGAAGTCACGGCTGAATTTTACCAGACTTTCAAAGAACTGGTATCAATTTTATTGAAGCTATTTTATAAGATTAAAGAGGAGGGAGTTCTCCCTAACTCATTCTACAAAGCCAGTATCACCCTGATACTAAAGCCAGGAAAAGACACAACAAGAAAAGAATACTACAGACCAATGTCTCTGATTTACACAGAAAAATCCTTAACAAAATATTAGCAAGCTGAATTCAACAGCATATTAAAAAAATCTACCACAATCAAGTGGGTTTTATCCCAGGGATGCAAGAGCTGTTCAACACAAGCAAGTCAATAAACATGATCCACTACATAAATAGAATTAAAAACAAAAATTATATGATCATTTCAATATATGCAGAAAAAGCATTTGATAAAAGCCAGCATCCTCTCATGAAAAAGTCTTCAGCAAAATAGGCATAGAAGGAACATTCCTCTAGATAATAAAAGCCGTATATGAAAACCCAATGTCATCCTGAAGAAAAGTTTAATGCATTCCATCTCAGAGCTGGAAAAACAAGGCAAGAATGCCCACTTTCACAACTCCTATTCAACATAGTACTGGAAGTCCTAGCCAGAGCAATCAGGCAAGAAAGAAATAAAGGGTATCTAAATTGGAAAAGAAATCAAACTATCTTTTTATGTTGATAATATGTTCTTATACCTAGAGAATCCTAAAGACTCCTCCAAAAGACTCACAGACTTGGTAAATGAATTTGGTAAAGTTTCAGGATACAAAATCAACACACACAAATCACTAGCACTGCTATTACCAATAGTTACCAAGCTAAGAATCAAATCAAGAATTCAATTCAATTTAATTAGAAAAAAAAATTCTAAAATCCATATGGAACCAAAAAGCTAGAATGACCAAAGCTATCCCAAGCAAAAAGAACAGGAAGCATCACATTACCTAACTTCAAATTATACTACAAGTCTATACTAACCAAAACAGCAAGATACCAGAAATAAACCCAAATACCTACAAGCAACTGATCTTTGATAAAGCAGACAAAAACATATACTAGGGAAAGGATACCCTATTCAACAAATGGTGCTGGGAAAATTGGATAGCTACATGCAGATAAATGAAACTTGATCCCTATCTCTCACCATATACAAAAATGAACTTAAGATGGATTGAAGACTTAAATGTCAGACCTACAACCATAAAAATCCTAAAAGAAAACCTTAAAAAAAAACTCTTCTGGACATTTGTCTAAGCTAAGAATTTATGGCTAAAACCCCAAAAGCAAATGCAACAACTAAAAAATGTGAGACTTAATTAAACTAAAAAGCTTCTGCATGGCAAAAGAAAAAAAACAAGTTAGTGAATCTTTATAAATGGACTCTAATTGTTTATGGAAATAACTTAATAATGTACTACATTAAGTGTTAATAATGAAGCAATATGTTTAAGAGATGGATTATTTTTCATCAATTACTCATCATTTTTATTTACCTTGTAATATACACTTGTTTAAGTTATACAAATCAGTATGGAAATCTCTTACTCTGTTAAAAAATTTTTTGTGATACTGTGGGAAAAGTTAAAATATTTTTCACAGTTTCAATATGAAATTTTAATTCTGACAAAATATTATTTTAAAACATATAAATATGTATACATGAATTTTTTTCCTTGTTTCTTTGTTTCCCTTCTTGCTACTATTTTTCCTATATAAATGTAAGCAAATAGGAGAAAGATTATTTGGAAATATAAAAATGCTGTTTCTCATTAATCATCCACTCCACTAATCTTAGCTCTTATTGATGATTTCCTAACCCCATCTATTTTAATTGGCATTTTACCATAAAGTAAAACTTTTTCTTTCTTAATTCATTAATTCATTTATGTATATATGTAAACCCCATGGATTTTTTATTTAAACAGATTTAATGAAGTGCAATCTACTCATGATAAAATTTTTCAATTTTAAGTGTCAGTTCAGTGAACACCAGCCAATGTATACAGTTAACCCTTGGAACAGTGCAGGGATTGGAAGCAGTAACTCCTCATACAGTCAAAAATTAGCTTATAAATTTTGACTATCAGCCAGTATCAACTAGTAACCTACTGTTGACTGGAAGCCTTGTCAGTAACATAGTTGGTGCATACATATGTTTTATGTTATATATATTATGGAGTGTAGTCTTAACAATAAAGTAGAGAAAAGAAAATGCTATAAAGAATCATAAGGGAGATAAAATATAGTTACTATTCATTAAGTGGAAGTGATTATTGTAAAGGTTTCTATCCTTGTTTTCACATTGAGTAGGCTGAGGAGGAAGAGGAAAAGGAGGGGATGATCTTGCTGTCTTGTGGTTGGCATAGGCAGAAGATGTGGAGGAGGTAGAAAGGCAGGCACACTAGTGTAACTTTACATAAATACATCATAATTTCTGTCTGACTTTTTTGTTTCCACATTTCTCTTTTAAAAATGTTTCTGTACAGTATCAATTATTTTATCATTAGCTTTAGTTACAGTGCCTGTATCATGGAAGGGTCCATGTCATAAAAGCAGTCTTTAATAATCAGAACCTTCTACCAGATTGTCTAATAGCAATTTATTTTCTGGCACTTCTTCTTTCACCCTCGTCTGGCACTGATTTGGAAGAACTTTTCTCCATGAAGTTGACTTTTGTTAATTCCTCTGGTGTAGTGTCTTATCAGTTCTGGGATTTCTCCAAAGTCCATATCTTGAAACCTATCCCTTCAACCCTTTCTCTCCTTCTTTGCCATATCATGATCTCTATCATTATTTCCTTGATTGGCTCTGTAGTAAGTTCTATGAAATCATGCACAATATGTTAACACAATTTTTTTTCAGCAGGACTTTTGTGTTCTTGGCTTGCTGACTTTCATGGATTTTTCTGTTAACAACAATGGTATTGTTAATGGTGTAATCCTTCCAGAATTTCATGTTCTCTTTATTGAGGTTCTCTTCCGTAGCGTTGACAGTCCTTTCCAGAGAGTACCATGTGTAACAAGCCTTAAAGATTCTAATGACTCTGGGATCTTGAGGCTGAACTAGAGGTATTGTGTCTAAGGTCAACAAGACTACCATTTTTGGTGTTCAACTCATGGGGTCATGGGTAGCCAGGGGGATTGTCCAATATCAAAAGAACTTTAAAAGGCAGTCCTTTACTGTCAAGGTACTGTTTTGATTTTAGGGAGAAAGCATTGATAAACACAATCCAGAAAAAAAAGATTCTCATTGCCAGGCTTTCTTGTTGTACAACCAGAAGACTGGCAGCTGGTGTTCATCTTTTTCTTTCAAGGCTCAGGGC